TGGATAACTAGGGTATTCAAAATAAGAGATGCTGAGTCAAGGGCGATATTCTGCAAGTAACTTGCTCTTTCTTTAGGCTGGAATGCTGTTGTATACTAACGGCCCCTTCAAGGCAGGGGCCTTTAGATTACAGAGATGGAAAACGTACAGAGAACCTCCACTGCCCGTGTAAACAAGGTACAGGTGTGGGCATCTTACCTGGCTAACCATGATGCAGGCGTACAGGTGTGGGTATCTTACCTGGCTAACCATGATGCAGACGTACAGGTGTGGACATCTTACCTGGCTAACCATGATGCAGGCGTACAGGTGTGGGTATCTTACCTGGCTAACCATGATGCAGGCGTACAGGTGTGGGTATCTTACCTGGCTAACCATGATGCAGGCGTACAGGTGTGGGTATCTTACCTGGCTAACCATGATGCAGGCGTACAGGTGTGGACATCTTACCTGGCTAACCATGATGCAGGCGTACAGGTGTGTACATCTTACCTGGCTAACCATGATGCAGCCGTACAGGTGTGGGCATCTTACCTGGCTAACCATGATGCAGGCGTACAGGTGTGGGCATCTTACCTGGCTAACCATGATGCAGGAGTACAGGTGTGGGCATCTTACCTGGCTAACCATGATGCAGGAGTACAGGTGTGGGCATCTTACCTGGCTAACCATGATGTAGGCGTACAGGTGTTGGTATCTTACCTGGCTAACCATGATGCAGGCGTACAGGTGTGGGCATCTTACCTGGCTAACCATGATGCAGGCGTACAAGTGTGGGCATCTTACCTGGCTAACCATGATGCAGGCGTACAGGTGTGGACATCTTACCTGGCTAACCATGATGCAAGCGTACAGGTGTGGGCATCTTACCTGACTAACCATGATGCAAGCGTACAGATGTGGACATCTTACCTGGCTAACCATGATGCAGGAGTACAGGTGTGGGTATCTTACCTGGCTAACCATGATGCAGGCGTACAGGTGTGGGCATCTTACCTGGCTAACCATGATGCAAGCGTACAGGTGTGGGCATCTTACCTGGCTAACCATGATGCAGGCGTACAGGCGTGGGTATCTTACCTGGCTAACCATGATGCAGGAGTACAGGTGTGGACATCTTACCTGGCTAACCATGATGCAGGCGTACAGGTGTGGGTATCTTACCTGGATAACCATGATGCAGGCGTACAGGTGTGGGCATCTTACCTGGCTAACCATGATGCAAGCGTATAGGTGTGGGCATCTTACCTGGCTAACCATGATGCACGCGTACAGGCGTGGGTATGTTACCTGGCTAACCATGATGCAGGCGTACAGGTGTGGGTATCTTACCTGGCTAACCATGACGCAGGCGTACAGGTGTGGGTATCTTACCTGGCTAACCATGATGCAGGCGTACAGGTGTGGGTATCTTACCTGGCTAACCATGATGCAGGCGTACAGGTGTGGGTATCTTACCTGGCTAACCATGATGCAGGCGTACAGGAGTGGACATCTTACCTGGCTAACCATGATGCAGGCGTACAGGTGTGGACATCTTACCTGGCTAACCATGATGCAGGCGTACAGGTGTGGGCATCTTACCTGGCTAACCATGATGCAGACGTACAGGTGTGGGCATCTTACCTGGCTAACCATGATGCAGGCGTACAGGCGTGGGTATCGTACCTGGCTAACCATGATGCAGGCGTACAGGCGTGGGTATCTTACCTGGCTAACCATGATGCAGGCGTACAGGCGTGGGTATCTTACCTGGCTAACCATGATGCAGGCGTACAGGCGTGGGTATCTTACCTGGCTAACCATGATGCAGGCGTACAGGTGTGGGTATCTTACCTGGCTAACCATGATTCAAGCGTACAGGTGTGGGTATCTTACCTGGCTAACCATGATGCAGGGGTACAGGTGTGGGTATCTTACCTGGCTAACCATGATGCAGGCGTACAGGTGTGGGCATCTTACCTGGCTAACCATGATGCAGGCGTACAGGTGTGTGGACATCTTACCTGGCTAACCATGATGCAGGCGTACAGGTGTGGGCATCTTACCTGGCTAACCATGATGCAGGCGTACAGGTGTGGGTATCTTACCTGGCTAACCATGATGCAGGCGTACAGGTGTGGGTATCTTACCTGGCTAACCATGATGCAGGCGTACAGGTGTGGACATCTTACCTGGCTAACCATGATGCAGGCGTACAGGTGTGGACATCTTACCTGGCTAACCATGATGCAGGCGTACAGGTGTGGGCATCTTACCTGGCTAACCATGATGCAGGCGTACAGGTGTGGGCATCTTACCTGGCTAACCATGATGCAGGCGTACAGGCGTGGGTATCTTACCTGGCTAACCATGATGCAGGCGTACAGGCGTGGGTAGCTTACCTGGCTAACCATGATGCAGGCGTACAGGCGTGGGTATCTTACCTGGCTAACCATGATGCAGGCGTACAGGTGTGGGTATCTTACATGGCTAACCATGATGCAGGCGTACAGGTGTGGGTATCTTACCTGGCTAACCATGATGCAAGCGTACAGGTGTGGGTTCTTACCTGGCTAACCATGATGCAGGGGTACAGGTGTGGGTTCTTACTGGCTAACCATGATGCAGGCGTACAGGTGTGGGTATCTTACCTGGCTAACCATGATGCAGGCGTACAGGTGTGGACATCTTACATGGCTAACCATGATGCAGGCGTACAGGTGTGGGCATCTTACCTGGCTAACCATGATGCAGGCGTACAGGTGTGGACATCTTACCTGGCTAACCATGATGCAGGCGTACAGGTGTGGGCATCTTACCTGCCTAACCATGATGCAGGCGTACAGGTGTGGGCATCTTACCTGGGTAACCATGATGCAGGCGTACAGGCGTGGGTATCTTACCTGGCTAACCATGATGCAGGCGTACAGGCGTGGGTATCTTACCTGGCTAACCATGATGCAGGCGTACAGGCGTGGGTATCTTACCTGGCTAACCATGATGCAGGCGTACAGGCGTGGGTATCTTACCTGGCTAACCATGATTCAAGCGTACAGGTGTGGGTATCTTACCTGGCTAACCATGATGCAGGGGTACAGGTGTGGGTATCTTACCTGGCTAACCATGATGCAGGCATACAGGTGTGGGCATCTTACCTGGCTAACCATGATGCAGGCATACAGGTGTGGACATCTTACCTGGCTAACCATGATGCAGGCGTACAGGTGTGGGCATCTTACCTGGCTAACCATGATGCAGGCGTACAGGTGTGGGTATCTTACCTGGCTAACCATGATGCAGGCGTACAGGTGTGGGTATCTTACCTGGCTAACCATGATGCAGGCGTACAGGTGTGGACATCTTACCTGGCTAACCATGATGCAGGCGTACAGGTGTGGGCATCTTACCTGGCTAACCATGATGCAGGCGTACAGGTGTGGGCATCTTACCTGGCTAACCATGATGCAGGCGTACAGGCGTGGGTATCTTACCTGGCTGACCATGATGCAGGCGTACAGGCGTGGGTATAGCTTACCTGGCTAACCATGATGCAGGCGTACAGGGTGGGTATCTTACCTGGCTAACCATGATGCAGGCGTACAGGTGTGGGTATCTTACATGGCTAACCATGATGCAGGCGTACAGGTGTGGGTATCTTACCTGGCTAACCATGATGCAAGCGTACAGGTGTGGGTATCTTACCTGGCTAACCATGATGCAGGGGTACAGGTGTGGGTTTCTTACCTGGCTAACCATGATGCAGGCGTACAGGTGTGGGTATCTTACCTGGCTAACCATGATGCAGGCGTACAGGTGTGGACATCTTACCTGGCTAACCATGATGCAGGCGTACAGGTGTGGGCATCTTACCTGGCTAACCATGATGCAGGCGTACAGGTGTGGGCATCTTACCTGGCTAACCATGATGCAGGCGTACAGGTGTGGGTATCTTACCTGGCTAACCATGATGCAGGCGTACAGGCGTGGGTAGCTTACCTGGCTAACCATGATGCAGGCGTACAGGCGTGGGTATCTTACCTGGCTAACCATGATGCAGGCGTACAGGTGTGGGTATCTTACATGGCTAACCATGATGCAGGCGTACAGGTGTGGGTATCTTACCTGGCTAACCATGATGCAAGCGTACAGGTGTGGGTATCTTACCTGGCTAACCATGATGCAGGGGTACAGGTGTGGGTTTCTTACCTGGCTAACCATGATGCAGGCGTACAGGTGTGGGTATCTTACCTGGCTAACCATGATGCAGGCGTACAGGTGTGGACATCTTACCTGGCTAACCTTGATGCAGGCGTACAGGTGTGGGCATCTTACCTGGCTAACCATGATGCAGGCGTACAGGTGTGGGCATCTTACCTGGCTAACCATGATGCAGGCGTACAGGTGTGGGTATCTTACCTGGCTAACCATGATGCAGGCGTACAGGTGTGGACATCTTACCTGGCTAACTTAGATTCGCTCCACCTGACGCCCTGTTTACACATTAGGTCCAGTAATAAGCGTATCATGAGATTACGTCACTGAGATATATAACGAGGATAAACTTTGTTGTGTAATATTAAACAGTCAACTCTATAGCAGCAGCAAATAATACCAATGGACAAAATGTAATATTTCTCTAACTTCCTTTATGGTAGCAGTTTATTGGGGCTTTGTATTAAGTACGTGTCCATATGCAGGAGGCTGTTTATACATATGAAAGAGTGGTGGATTTGAAAACAGGCGTACACTGGTTTACGGAATCTGTAATTGAATTAATTATCCAGGGATTGATGATAACATCAAAATCATAGTCATTATAATAATTCAGAGGGCTCATTGATGTTGTAGACCTGCATTAGTGATGCCTTATATTGATTTAACATGGGATGACTTAATAAAGTTAAACACTGAAACTTTTTTTTCCATTGGAAACCATAACAGAGACTAAATTCCTTAATTATTCTATTTTATGTATATGGATATAACTTAGAAATGTAAGCGTGCCACTTTTTTTTCAGCAGGTCCAGCAGCAGCAGGCCCAGCAACAGCAAGCCCAGCAGCAGCAGGGAAGCGGTGGTTCCTCCCGGGAATCATCTCGTCCATGTTCTCGTGGCTCTACACCGTCCAGCACCAGGTCTTCTACCACGCCTTCACGACGACCACCCAGGCCTTCACGTTCCCCAGACCCTGACACTCCTGATAGTGACGGTGAGTGTTATTACCAGACCCTGACACTCCTGATAGTGATGCTGAGTGTTATTACCAGACCCTGACACTCCTGATAGTGACGGTGAGTGTTATTACCAGACCCTGACACTCCTGATAGTGATGCTGAGTGTTATTACCAGACCCTGACACTCCTGATAGTGACGGTGAGTGTTATTACCAGACCCTGACACTCTGATAGTGATGCTGGTGTTTATTACCAGACCCTGACACTCCTGATAGTGACGGTGAGTGTTATTACCAGACCCTGACACTCCTGTTAGTGATGCTGAGTTATTACCAGACCCTGACACTCCTGAAGTGACGGTGAGTGTTATTACCAGACCCTGACACTCCTGATAGTGATGGTGAGTGTTATTACCAGACCCTGACACTCCTGATAGTGATGCTGAGTGTTATTACCAGACCCTGACACTCCTGATAGTGACGGTGAGTGTTATTACCAGACCCTGACACTCCTGATAGTGATGGTGAGTGTTATTACCAGACCCTGACACTCCTGATAGTGATGGTGAGTGTTATTACCAGACCTGACACTCCTGATAGTGACGGTGAGTGTTATTACCAGACCTGACACTCCTGATAGTGATGGTGAGTGTTATTACCAGACCCTGACACTCCTGATAGTGATGGTGAGTGTTATTACCAGACCCTGACTCTCCTGATAGTGATGGTGAGTGTTATTACCAGACCCTGACACTCCTGATAGTGATGCTGAGTGTTATTACCAGACCCTGACACTCCTGATAGTGACGGTGAGTGTTATTACCAGACCCTGACACTCCTGATAGTGATGGTGAGTGTTATTACCAGACCCTGACACTCCTGATAGTGACGGTGAGTGTTATTACCAGACCCTGACACTCCTGATAGTGACGGTGAGTGTTATTACCAGACCCTGACACTCCTGATAGTGATGCTGAGTGTTATTACCAGACCCTGACACTCCTGATAGTGATGGTGAGTGTTATTACCAGACCCTGACACTCCTGATAGTGACGATGAGTGTTATTACCAGACCCTGACACTCCTGATAGTGACGGTGAGTGTTATTACCAGACCCTGACACTCCTGATAGTGATGGTGAGTATTGTTATCAGACCCTGACACTCCTGATAGTGATGGTGAGTGTTATTACCAGACCCTGACACTCCTGATAGTGATGGTGAGTGTTGTTACCAGACCCTGACACTCCTGATAGTGATGGTGAGTGTTGTTATCCAGACCCTGACACTCCTGTAGTGATGGTGAGTGTTATTACCAGACCCTGACACTCCTGATAGTGATGGTGAGTGTTATTACCAGACCCTGACTCTCCTGATAGTGATGGTGAGTGTTATTACCAGACCCTGACACTCCTGATAGTGATGCTGAGTGTTATTACCAGACCCTGACACTCCTGATAGTGACGGTGAGTGTTATTACCAGACCCTGACACTCCTGATAGTGATGGTGAGTGTTATTACCAGTCCCTGACACTCCTGATAGTGATGGTGAGTGTTATTACCAGACCCTGACACTCCTGATAGTGACGGTGAGTGTTATTACCAGACCCTGACACTCTGATAGTGATGGTGAGTGTTATTACCAGACCCTGACACTCCTGATAGTGACGGTGAGTGTTATTACCAGACCCTGACACTCCTGATAGTGACGGTGAGTGTTATTACCAGACCCTGACACTCCTGATAGTGATGCTGAGTGTTATTACCAGACCCTGACACTCCTGATAGTGATGGTGAGTGTTATTACCAGACCCTGACACTCCTGATAGTGACGATGAGTGTTATTACCAGACCCTGACACTCCTGATAGTGACGGTGAGTGTTATTACCAGACCCTGACACTCCTGATAGTGATGGTGAGTATTGTTATCAGACCCTGACACTCCTGATAGTGATGGTGAGTGTTATTACCAGACCCTGACACTCCTGATAGTGATGGTGAGTGTTGTTACCAGACCCTGACACTCCTGATAGTGATGGTGAGTGTTGTTATCAGACCCTGACACTCCTGATAGTGATGGTGAGTGTTGTTACCAGACCCTGACACTCCTGATAGTGTTGGTGAGTGTTGTTATCAGACCCTGACACTCCTGATAGTGATGGTGAGTGTTATTACCAGACCCTGACACTCTGATTGTGACGGTGAGTTTTGTTACCAGACCCCAACACTCCTGATAGTGACGGTGAGTGTTGTTACCAGACCCTGACACTCCTGATAGTGATGGTGAGTGTTATTGCCAGACCCTGACACTCCTGATAGTGACGGCGAGTGTCACTACCCTGACTCCTTCAATATAAGCTGCTCCTTCATATCCGGTAATAAGTACTGTATTGCTAGCCGTTCCTAGCAAACTTCCCGTTCTGACACGACTTTCACAGGTTAATTTCTAATATGTGACTCATTACAGATCTAAACCGCCGTTAGATTATGTGTTACGAGAGAGAGAGAGAGAGAGAGAGAGAGAGAGAGAGGAGAGAGAGAGAGAGATTGATAGCTTTCACCCTCCACCCCTCCACACACACACACAGAAGGGATAGACCAATTCTTTTAGGCCAGATACTAAACTTTCCAGTTTCCTACAGAGAAACCCCTTTCTCGGACTCTCAACAACGACATCACTGTCAACAATGTTGGTACAAGTTAGAGCACAACAAATTGTTTTCCAAACAGCAATTGAGCTCCTGGCCATCTTTACACCGCTGTCGGGGTAACGATTACAAATCAAACAAACACTCACACATGGAGAGACGTGTAGCACGTCGCTGGAAACATTGCAGAACCACGCTTTCGATCCAGCATATCTTAGAAAACTATACTATCTCTCAACGAGCTCAGAATTCACTTTTGACATCTGTGTCCTGACCCGCTCTCTCTAACTGACCTCTTTGCCGACAATCCCGCCTTCAACGCAGACTCACTCTTTGGCTGTTTTTAACAGAAACTAACCTATCGCATCTCTGAGATTAGTGTTGCGCCTTCACTAAACCTCAACTCCACTAACTCCTGCCCATACACATTACCACACCACAGCACTGTATAACCCATAAAGGTTTAGCGTTATTTTTTGTAATAATGATAGTAGTAATAATTATAATAATCTAGAGCTGATTTTAGTAAATATGGGAATTAATATATAAAGAGAGGGAGGCAATGAAGACCAGAACCTTCAGCATTAGGATAGTTAAGTAGGATAGTTAAGTAGGATAGTTAAGTTAGGATAGTTAGTAGCTTGTCTATTTTTGGATTTGTGGATGGTGGATCCAGCGTCTACTTCTTGTGCTGACTGACTCGCAGAGGTTTAGAGTTTCACATAAAATACAGTACAATAGTATGTATTAGGACAAAACGTTTCTTATGTTCTAATTCCGACTTTTTTTTCCTGTACAGAGCGGTGCGGCAAGACTAACTCTCCCTGTGGCAGTGAAATCTCCCTTCACTCGGCCAAGTCGGCAGCCTCGGCCAAATCCAGTGCTTCGGCGAAATCCAGCCTGTCTGCCAAGTCTAATGCCTCGACCGTATCTAACCTGTCGGCCAAGTCTAGTGCCTCGGCCAAGTCTGCTGGCTCGGCCAAATCCGATTCCTCGGCTAAATCGAAGGAGCCTATGGCCAGGTCCATGCGCAAGTCACCCAGCACTTCCCCAGGCTGCTCCAAGCACCCGGTCAAGAGTGCCGTGGCTAAGAGCACCAAGGCCAAGTCCCCAGTGCCTACCCACAGTGCCAGCAGCAGCGCCCACATACCCTCACACACCATGAATCGACGACGCAGTACCTTATCCTCAGGGTCGTCTGCCTCCAGTGCTGATACTGCTCTTTATAATGGGTGAGCGTCTCTCTTCCTCTTTCTCTCTCTTTTACACAGGGTTTCACAAGGTTAGGTTAGGGTCCTAACTTTATTTACAAGCTATGAGTTGTTACCTACATCAGCTCATTTGATAGACCTTTTTTTTTATTATGAGACATACAAATAAAGAATATGTTGAAGCTGGTCATCTGGATAACAAGACTTCCGTCATCGCTTTTCATTCAGCCATCTTCCTTAGTGGAGTTGGGAATGTCTGTTGAATTCTCGAGGCTCCATTTCCAGATGACTAAGTAAATATTTAGGTACAGGTACACATAAATACAGTTACATAAATTATCATACACAGCAGCATATGTGTAGATTACTTAGGATAACCCAAAAAGTCAGGTAAAGTTACTTATTTCCATTGGGGCCCTTGTAATATCTTATTATTTAAACCTTAAAAGTTAAAACATCTAAGTAACTCAACTATGTGAAAAGCAGTTACTAGGAATAACGTAAGCTGAATTATTTATATTAACATTAAAATGAGGATCAGATCACAGTAATAGGTACATGAATGTTAAGTGAAAGGTTCATGAATGTTACAGTAACAGGTACATGTATGTTAGGTATACAAGAAATCACTCTCCTCCCTTTCTGTAGCTTCATTCATTTTGTACCTTTTAGTTCTCTTCCTGAACTGGCTCATACTATGGCAGGCTTTGACATGTACAGGCAATCTTTTCCACTCCTTTTTTTGCTTTACAATAAAAGGTGTTTGAAGCCTGACCACTTACTGTGGGTACTACGAAGTTGTGTTCCCTTACCCCAGTACTGTACTTGCTTTGGTTCCCAGCCTTGACAAACTTGGCAGCAGGATATTCTGGACTCTGCTTGTGAGCAACTTTATAAACGTAATTTAATTTCAGTTGTTTTAATCTGTCTTCAACATTCAGCATATCCAGTTGTTGTAATTCATCCTGGCCTACGTGCTCCCTTGGACCCAGGTCCAGGATGAATCTTACCATATTGTTTTGGGAGTAATCTATATGGCATTGTATAAGAGCTAGACATAGGGTTCTGCGAGCCTCAGTATGTAAACACTGTGACTGTCTGTAGAGGAACTTTAGTCTGGCATTTGCTTTCTTTACTGCACTTGAGTCAAAGAGGATTCCCAGATATTTCACCGAAGATACTAAAGTGATGGGTTCTCCAACACACTGGACATTAAAATTATTTACTATTTTCAGTTTATTATTTCGTGCCAGAGTATGGCTTCCGTTTCCCCGAGGTGTAAGGATAATTTGTTGTCTACTTACCATTTGCTACAGGATTCTAGTTCTAGTTACAGTACGTTAGCTATATCTTGTGAGTCTTTACCTGACACTAACCGAGGACTGTCGTCTGCATACAACAGAAGCTTACACTTAACACTGATGGCCATGTCATTTACATAACATAGGAGCAGTAAGGGAACCAGAATACTAGCTTGGGGAACCCCACATTCTATCGGCAAGGGTTCTGATTCCGTGTTGTTGAATTGACAGTTTGCTTCCTGTTGCTCAGGTAGGTCTTAAACCAGTCTACGAAACCTATGCCGATAGCATGTAGTTTCTTACATAATATATTATGTTTGACTGTATCGAAGGTCTTTTGCAAGGCTATGGTCACCATACCTTCGAGATTCCATAGCGACATTTGAGTTCTCGGGTAATCCACCAGAATAATCAGGGAGGTGTCGGTCGAGTAAGATCTGAAACCTGATTGGTAACTATGGAGAATGTTTTTGTCATTAAGATACTTAACTACATGACAGTACACCGCCTTCTCTAGAATTCTGGACATCACACTGAGTATACTAACAGGCCTGTAGTTGCTGACATCAAACTTACTATTTTTCTTGAAGACAGGACAACCTGATTACTCCAGATGACAGTCCGATAGTTTACTCCAGATAGATTATATACACCTGGAAAATCCTAGAGGGACTAGTACCGAACTTGCACACGAAAATCACTCACTACGAAAGCAAAAGACTTGGCAGACGATGCACCATCCCCCCAATGAAAAGCAGGGGTGTCACTAGCACGTTAAGAGACCATACAATAAGTGTCAGGGGACCGAGACTGTTCAACTGCCTCCCAGCACACATAAGGGGGATTACCAACAGACCCCTGGCAGTCTTCAAGCTGGCACTGGACAAGCACCTAAAGGCAGTTCCTGATCAGCCGGGCTGTGGCTCGTACGTTGGTTTGCGTGCAGCCAGCAGCAACAGCCTGGTTGATCAGGCGCTGATCCACCAGGAGGCCTGGTCACAGACCGGGCCGCGGGGGCGTTGACCCCCGAAACTCTCTCCAGGTAAACTCCAGGTAAATAGCAGCCTGATAAATTACTCCAGACAGCATCCTCATAGTTTACTTGAGATTATGTGCTGTCACGGTGTATATACATAGTGCAAACTGCATACATTCCCTGCCTCCTCTTCTCCCACTTTATTTACCTTGGTGTTGAGCAGTATATCTGACAAGTAAATTCTTGAATGGTGTTGAATACTTCTCTGGGAAGTTACCAGTTGAAGCCGAGAGATGAAAAGGCTTTTTTAAATTTCCTACCTTGTCCTGCCAGAACACATATCTGCTACCAGCGCTACAACACTGTTAGAGATATTAAGAGTGGTCCCTGTCACCTTAATTGTTGTCTGTTTCGTCACACTGAAAGTTTTCAGTTTTAACTCTTTCGTGGTGTCATAAAAACTTTAACTTTCTTCAGAACCAGTGCCCTTAAAAAATCCAGAAATATCTATATTCGCGTGGTGTCAGCAGATCAGCTCAATCCGTGGACTTGGAAAAAAAAAACACTGATTATTTTCAAATAGCATGTGAAAAACATTCATATCTAATTTTTGGTAAGTTTCATCGCAATTAAAATGGGATTTGTTCTCCTTTTAGTATGTACAATCTCAATAACAAGTTCTCTGATAGACCGATTTTGCTGCAATGTCAAGGAGTGGTTTGTCTCTTCGATTTCCACTGCTGGCTTTGAGGCTTCATGACAGTTCCTTTAATATACTTTGTCATTCGCCGAAGAAGATACAAATTTTGTCCTACACTCTGGACTATGTGAGCAGCTGTTCTCATGAGGAGCACACTGGGTCCGATGTATTGTGTTCACTTACGGAATTTTATTGCTTTTTCAGCCTAGTCATTGGCGCTTATGTTGTATTATCTCTCGGTAGGAAATATAATGCACTAACAGTAATTTTTTTTCCCTTGGGCTTAATTACATTTTGATGACTTATAGACCCGTATTAGAAGGATTGTATACCGGAGCACTAGAGTGTAACTCAGTGGCACTGCTTCCCTACATTTATTTAGGTAGTGCATATATTTTTAATATAGCCTCTAGAGAAGAGAATGGGTATATTAAATCCCGGTTTAACCCATAGTTAATGTACCTGATCTTCAGTACACATTAAAAAAATTAGGGGTAAATTTCAGGGAACATTTTTTCCCTTGTCAAATTTTATTTAGAAATTTCATATTTTGCACAGTTATAATAAAAAATAATTAAATTCATGATATAGTTCCATTTTTAAGCTGCATATTTCATCATATTTGATGATTATAGCTTAACTGTTGTTATAATTATTGCAGTTTGCTCTGGGACACAATAAATCTCAAGCTCTAACGAACCCAAAAATATAGACTGACCAGGCGTTAAAGTGACTTGGAAAGTGACAACTGAGTCTCTGTCTTGTGCATCACATGATGCCAGACAATTTAAACATCAGGCTAATTGAAAAAGAAATTATTTGGATTACTAACCCAGAAGGGGTAGTAACCCAGGATAACCCAACAGAGTCGAGCAGTGTGGTTATTTCCATTAAGGTTCTTTGGTCCTCTTCCCTTGGGTGCCATCCACAAGGGTCAGGTAATACCTAGGTACCTACTTATTGCTAGGTGAATAGGAACAATGGATGTTAGGTAACATGCCCAAGCCGCCCAAGCCTCCAACCCAGGCCCTTCGATTGTGAGATGAAAACGCTTACACTGATCTACAACTGCCTTTTAGTCCCTCAATTTGGTAGCCAAGTTCAGCATTTTCAGCTCTGACACATGAACTAAAAGAACAGATTCTTTTTCAGCATCACAACTTCCTTTTACTTTTAGTAAGACCGGTCTTGACACTGTTCTTGCCTGCTGGCTACATCTGTACTCCACCGTCCATCAACTTTTTTTTTTTTTTTTTTACACTGCGGATATGTTTCTCGTGATCCGAGAAACTAGAACTGCTTTCCTTTTTTCCTACGGATTTTGCCCTTCCCAGTGAAAAAAAAATGAAATGTACTGGTTTGGGGTTGAGGGAAGGCTAATGAACCACTTACTTGGGCAGAGTGTCACCCTCGGGAACACAACGCCTAATCACTTTCAATCTTTCAACACGTGTGTACAGTAACTGGGACCACATTTTTGGAACAGTTGACATGTTCACGTGCTTTATGAACATAGTTCTTGAACTCATTCTTATCTTTAGGAATGGCTCGAAAATCTTTCAAAACACTCAATGGTGTGACTTCAAAAGTTCAGACAAGGTGATTAAAAAATTGACTACTGCGGAGAATGAAATTCGAATGTGTAGATGTAAATCTGACGATTTTATGTGTGAAATAGTGTGCAATTTTTATTCTCATTAAATCACGTTAAATAATTTTCGGATGCATTTTAGGGTCAAGATAGTACCTGGAGTTTACCTGGAGAGAGCTCTGGGGGTCAACGCCCCCGCGGCCCGGTCTGTGACCAGGCCTCAGTGGATCAGAGCCTGATCAACCAGGCTGTTACTGCTGGCTGAACGCAATCCAACGTACGAGCCACAGCCCGGCTGGTCAAGTACCGACTTTAGGTGCTTGTCCAGTGCCTGCTTGAAGACAGCCAGGGGTCTATTGGTAATCCCCCTTATGTGTGCTGGGAGGCAGTTGAACAGTCTTGGGCCCCTGACACTTATTGTGTTGTCTCTTAACGTGCTAGTGACACCTATTA